AGTACTAGAGCACTTGCCTAAAATATGCAAGGTCCTGGATCTCTCTCTCTCTTTCTCTCTTTCTCTCTCTCTCTCTCTCTCTCTCTCTCTCTCTCTCTCTCTCTCTCTCTTCCTGTTTTTCTCTCTGGCCAGTTGTATCTGCAGATGCCTGGTCCTATCTCACAAGTCTGGTTTTGTAAATGAATGACTCACAGAGGTCTCTCCTGCTTCTTGGCTAAACTCTCCCCAGATGAACCTAATGTGAAGTAGCTCTGCAGTTTGTACTGCTTACTACAATAACGTTCTCTTTTTTTAAGATTTATTTTTATTTTATGTGCATTGGTGTTTTGCCTACATGTGTGTCTGTGTGTCTGATCCCCTGAATCTGAAGTTACAGACAGTTGTGAGCTACCATGTGGATGCTGGGAGTTGAACCTGGGTCCTCTGGAAGAGAAGGCAGTACTCTTAACCACTGAGCCATCTCTCCAGTCCTGTGACATCCTTTCTATTTATCACTCCTGAATTGAGTATGGTTCTTGACAATGACTCAGCTGCTGATAAATGATTGCTATGGAGCTTAAATAGATAAATAAGTGGGGAGGAGTCAAGATGATTGACGGTCCCCCCCAATGGACCAGAAGCTCCGAGATTCTAGGAACAGAAATGAGGAAGACAGGAGGACATTGAAACGAAGGGGTAAATCCACATTAGAGAGGATGACTTCTCAATGTGGTTGCATAATGTGAACTGGGGCTTGAAACTAAGCTGGAGTGAGGCTAGAGACATGGGAGCCACGCATGCTGGTTGAGGCTGCAAGAGTTCCTCCCTTTGGAGAAGGGGAAAGGGAGGCTGCAGAACTTGCCCAGCCAACAACATGCAGCATCCAAGAATTGGATAAGAGGAGTGCAAAGAAGTTGGAGGTTTTTCTATGGGGTCAAATAATCAACGGGAGAAGAGCCCTCCCATTAGGAGTTAGGAAAGGGCAGTTCCCCAAAGTGATGGGAGCAGAAGAGAATCCTGAACACTTAGACACTCAGGTAGCCTTAGACTCTCGGTTTCAGGTAGAGAGAGCTAGAGCCAGCTTCAAGAATCCTCCAACAACATTCCCACCCAACCACCCTGGGCATGCTGAGTTACTCCCTACCTGGTACTGTCAGTAACCACTTGAGTTGCAAAAAAGATTGGCATTCTGGGACAGGTAGGCCTGTCAGAGCAGGCTGTGGAGGCTCTAAGTAGGCCACCAAGTTGGAAGGAAATCCTTCAGGAGCCTCTGGCCCACTGGGGACCCAAGAAAATGTAATAAGCCTCCTACCAAGCATCCAGCAGCTCCAGATCTTAGCAAAAGCTCCTTCCCCCTGCTGCTTGACAAGAAGAGATGTCAGCCTTGGGTCTGGGGAGACCATAATTTAGATCTAAAAACAAAACAAAAAACAAACAAACAAAAAAAAACATGGAAATGTGGGGAGGCAGGATGGTCTTCTACCTATAATACTAACACATGAGAAGCAGAGACAAATATTCCCAAAGCAGGCTAACTAGTGAGACCAGCAAAACTGGTGCTCTCTGGGTTCACGTGAGAGACCCTGCCACAATGTATGAGGTGCATAGTAATTGAGGAAAATAGCCCACTTTAACCTCTAGCTTCCACATGCATGTGAACATGAATGCACACATGCACACACTCATAAACATGAGGGGGAAAAACAGAAACCAGTGAGAAGCAATTAACCCTTTTCTCAGTCAGTTCCGTCCCCTGCTTCCTGGTGTCCTTGCCTCTGCCATTCCACGTGCAGTTGAGGGGCCTTAAGGGAGTTAAATGATTGTTTTCTGTTTAATCTGCACATTTGAGTATGCCCGTCATGCGCCTCATTCCAGAGTGGAGGCACAGGAGATTCGAGGACAGGACTCAGACATCACAGCATAGTGGAGCCGCCAGAATGCTTGCACAGTAGTGTGTTAATGAGTGTTAAAATTGACATTGCAAATACAGCGTTCTTGATGTTTAAAATTACAACCCTGGCACAAGTCATGCTGTTAAAACATACAAGAAATACCAGTTAAGTCTTCAAGTAGAGACCACACATCCCATACAGATCGCAGCTATGTCCCAAAGTGCAGAACGAATCATTTTCATTGAAATGAAGCGATAATTAACAGGTAGCTCAGTGAGTTGAGTGCTACGATAAGTAGAAATAACAAATTCAAATATTAAACACCAATTACTACCTGATGAGCGAGGCATAAGCTTGGCACTCAACATGCCCCTCCTCAGCAGCAAAACCTGGCAAATGAGGGTGTCTTGTGGGGAACACAGCCTAAGACCTGTGCATCTGTTCAACGAACACGTGTCACTTCCAAAATGTCCATCGCACTTGCTGTGAGGAAAGCTCTGCCCATCTATTTGTCCCAGTGACATTGAACAGATCGAACACCAGGAGTAAAGTTGCTCTTCAGCCACCAGCAGGACGCAAGTGAACCTGTGTCGTGTGTGTGTGTGTGTGTGTGTGTGTGTGTGTGTGTGTGTGTGTGTGTGTGTCCCACCAAGGAAGGATTGGTTATGGGTCACATTGACAGTCTGATGGGGGTCACTTAATCTTTGTAGCTTTTACTCCCGAGAGCATGACAGAAAGCTAAGCTACCCTTTTCTGGTTACCAGGAAAAACTGCTGTAGTGGTGCATTATCTAATGTGGCCAGTCAGAGGCTTTGCTTCTGAGCCAGCACTTGTGAACGTCCTACCTTGGTGTGGCTTTGGTGGTGAGGGGAGTGTTCCCAGAGTCACACACAACCTTCTTCACCTTCTATGGGAAGTCACGGCAGCATCCCAGCCATCTGCAATGCTCTCCCTCGAGGTCTCTGAAACCACTGCTTGGAGAACTCCATGCTACTGGGACCTTTCCTTGTTTGGAAGTGACTAAAGGTCTTGGTGGGCAAAGAAATATTCTTTTACAATTATACATATATGTACAAGAAATGTTAAAAAGACAGTCTCTAAAGCACTTTGGGGTTCCCCCAAAGAAAGGCACCAGGTAAAAGCAAGTCATTACCAAAAAAGGAAAGTCAAGTTTTCCAGCTTCCTTACATCCGCTTGTAGGTACCCACTACGGGTATCACTTGTTTGGTGGTAAGCCCGCTCACTCATTATAAAAGCCTTATGGGAGTGGCTAAGTTAGTCTGTCTCCTGCCTCCGTCCTCCTTTGCATCAGCTTCAGGTCACTGACCATGGATGTCATGCTGTTACCTTGCACCATCAGCCCCAGCAGACAGAGCAGTCCTCACAGGTGGATGCTGTCACCTGCCTGCAGTGCATCTGGGGACAGTTTTGTGATCGTTCTGTCTTCCAGGGCTGAAGGCACTAGCCAACAGCAAGAGTCCCATGTGCAAACTCCAGAAAACAGGCCTGTTCTTCTGACTCCTCGGCAGGTTCCTCTAAGTTACTTCACACCCCTGCTGCTTTGGAATAACACACATAGGTGTGTCCGCATGGAGGCACTAGGAGATTGCCACCCTCTGCCCTTCTTGAGACTCCAGTCTGAAGAAAAATTTGAACTGGAGGCTCAAGGACATTAAGTGGCCAGTGCATTCACCCAACAAATCGCCCACACTGTAGTAGCCATGACAACTACTAGTACACAAAGCCCTCTGAGAAGATCCACTTTGTACTCCTGTGAGGTGTGGATTATCCCTACCCAACTAAAACACAAAATGGACCAATTAAGAGTAGGTCCAAACTTTGGATAAAAAGCCTGTTTATCACCATATTTGCATCCCTAAATCCTATAGCCTTGCCAAAGACTTAACAATAATGAAAGCCACTGGAAAACCATTAGATTATGTAGAGGATGATGGGAAAGAATTATCTTAAAAGGGGCCCAGCTTCCCCTTCATACTGTATTATGCTGACTAACTGCAGGGAAGGATAAGGGTGTGTGGGGAAAGGAATTAGTGGTGACCCTTCAACAAAGCTTAATGATCGAAAGGGTTTCTTGACTAGCTTTAAGCTTTCAAAGAAACTCACAGTTATTTTTGTTTTATGAAATAGTTTTTGGCTTTATAACTCTTTTTTTCTGGCCTCTATCCTTGCTCGCATCCCCTCCCCAAAGAAAACCCCTGCAATTGTAATGGAAATAAGAACTACAAGGTTTCCACCTTAGGTAAGCCACACTGCCTTCATGCACATCTATATTTCGAATACACTTCTATCCTACCAGGTTTCCATGTCACCGCAGGAACTCAAGGCAATCAAAACATTGTACATACTATTCTGTATCCTAGAAGCAAGATTACCTAAAGAGAATTCTGCTTAGAAATAAAAAGGGCTGTCATTTTATGGGCTTTCAGAGCAGGCAAGAGAATATTTAAGTTACTGCCCTTGCTAGCAACCTAACAACGCTCACCTCACAATGACAATGCAACACTAACCTCTTCTAGTTGAGAAAGACACACAACCTTATTCCTAAACATCTTTAAAAAAAAAATACTTGAAAAACATGCTAATACCAAGACACAGCAAACTTTGGTCAAAATGGCCTGGATTAGGAATCTCAGCCAGAAATAAATGTCTCTATGATTCCTCCAGGAAAAATAGAGGCCTGACTGTCAATGAAAGGGATTAGCCTACATGAACTCTGTTTATAGCATCATGGGGTTTGGTTCATGTTTAGCTAAAGCCCCTGTCCCTAATCTATTGGTTTAAGTAAAAACATTCAGTCTCTACTACGTGTTGACTAAATAACATTCTCTTACACTGACACTTAGGAGATACAAATCAACACACATCTTTCTAAAAACTGACGGGCTTACCCATGCACTTCGCTAGGACAGGACCAAAAACTTGCATTGGTTAAGTGTGCTTAGCTTTGCAATCTTCCCATTTTGGTGTTAAAATTAAACTGAGATTCTGTTTTCACAAGGTTGTGATCCAAATCTCATGATATCCTTGCTGACCTCACAGACAGATGTGTTTCCATGGAACAGACTTACGGGGGCTTTTTGTACAGAGGTCACACAACAACCTCAGAAATAGAAGCACAGACAGCTCTACTCACAGTTAGTACTGGGGCATAAACACTAGAATAGTGTACACAGTGGACAGAGAAACTGGCATTCTAGACACTTATCTGACAGAAAGATGAACATTTTGCGCCCATGATGCAAAGACCAGCGAGGGCCATTTCATTGGAGGCTGCAAAGGCATGGCGTTAGATACACCATCCTCTTTTTAAAAAAACGACTCTAAACATCGCAAAAACAACCTAGGGCTCATATCCCATGCAGCTCTCCCTCTAGGGTAGGGTTGGCTTCTTATGCCAGAACCCCACGGTGCCTGGATTGTGCCAACGGCACAAGAGGCAGGTCAGCAATGCACGCCAGGGGATAACAACCCCTCCCAGCTAATGTAGAGAATCATCCAAGCTCAGTTCACTGGGTGAACTCCTGCTCATGTTAGTCAGGCTTGCCATGAGAGATTTAACTTTATGGGCATAATAGTCCCTTAAATTGACTGAAGGGACCTCCTTCATCCCATCTCCAAAGTCACAGCTGCGCATAGCACTCTCAAGTTGCTTTTGGCGCCGGTAAAAGTGGGAGAACTTATTGAAGATCAAGGTGATCGGCAAGACCACCACCAGGATGCCTGCCAAGATGCAGGCTGAGGCAGTCAGCTTCCCGGCTGTGGTCCCTGGGACCACATCTCCATAGCCAACAGTGGTCATACTGACAGTAGCCCACCACCAGCAGGCAGGGATGGTAGCCAGGCTCTCGTTCTCCTCCTTTTCGATGGTATAGGCCACCACCGAGAAGATGGAAATCCCCACTGAGAGGTAGAGCAAGAGCAGCCCCACTTCCTTGTAGCTGTATTTCAGGGTGGCTCCCAAGGAGCGGAGGCCCGTGGAGTGTCTGGCCAGCTTGAGAATTCGGAAGATCCTCATCAGCCTGAGGACCTGAGCCACCCTGCCCAAGTTAGCCAAGGTAGGGGAGCTCTCCACCACCAGGTTCACCACTAGAGTTATGTAAAAGGGGACGATGGACATGAGATCAATAAGGTTGAGAGCGTTCTTGAAGAACTTGAGGAAGTCAGGGGCCACAGCAAACCTGGCCACCAACTCAAATGTGAACCAGGCGATGCCGAAATGTTCCACGATTTCGAACCTGGGGTCTTCACCGGGGTTGCCCTGGCTATCAGGGATTTGGAAATCGGGCAGGCTATTGAGGCACATGGTGATGATAGATCCCAACACCACCAGGATGGACAGGACACTGAAGACCCTGCTTAGGACTGAGTAGCCCGGGTTGTCCAATGCCAGCCAGAGCTGCCTGCGGAAGTTGCCCAGGGGTTGCCCGTCGAACTTGGAAGCATCATTATAGAAGGCCAAGATCTCGTCAAAGGAGGACGTGGTGCTCTCCTGGTCACTCTGTTCGTCCCACTTCTCCTGCTCAGGTTCCACTTTGCGGCCATGATAGCTGTAACTGCAGCAGGAGTCGATGAAGAACTCATTGATACCCCAATACTCGATCTCCTGGCTGAAGGAGAAGACGCACAGCTCAGCCATGACGTGAAGCTTGCCGGTGTGGTAGAAATGCAAGACGTAGGGGAAGAGCTCCGGGTTGCGGTCGAAGTAGAACTCGTGCTGGACGTCGTCGTAGTCGTCGCAGAGTTCCAGAATGGCCTCTCGCGAGTGGCAGAGGAGTAGACGGCCCAGGCGCGTCTCGGGGAAGCGCAGCAGCGTGTGGGAACGCAGCCGTCTCTTGAAGCCGCCCACATTGATGCGAATCTCCCCATCCTCGATGTCGGCCTCGGACACTTCCCACAGGCTCTGGCGGGTCATGCTGGAAATGCCCAGGCGCCCGCGCCGCGCGGGGGCGCTACACCTGAAAGCAGAAGGAACAGCATCTGTGTGAGCTCCAGCACTCCCCACCCCAGCTTCTCTTTTTCTTTCTCCCCACCCTCCTCTGGCGGGCTCAGTCCTCTCCAGCGGGGTCTCTGTGTGCCTTCAGGCACTGGGGTGCACGAATGGTTCTATGGGGTTACCCTTCCCAAGGCAAGGGTGTATGTTTCAATGAGTACAGCCGGGCCTCCACCTCCTCCCCGGAGTAGCACCCAATGGCTCTGAGAGCCCAGGGGATGGGGGGGTGAGGGGGGTGCTGCATGCTGACCTTGCCTGTGAGCAAACCAAGGAGACGCCCCCGCCCTCTCGCCGCAGACAGGCGGGACCCAAGCTGAGATGCGCACCGGCAGGGCTGGGCCAAGGGGGCGCGGAGATTTGGGGGGGCGGGGAAATTCACCGCTCCAGTCCGTAAATCTGGGCCCAGGAGGAAGAGGGTCAACTCGGAGTCCCAGGTCTCCAGCCTCCAAGGACTGACCCCCTTCCCAGGCCCCTCCCCACCCCCATCCCCGCCCTTCTGGCGCTGTGTCCCCCAGCCGCGTGCGCTGCGCCTTCCCCAGGCTCGCCTTGCGCGTTCTGGAAGCGCTTACCTGGGTGCACCGGCGCCCGCGGCCGAGGCCGGCGGGAAACTTCCCGGACCTGCTGGCGAGCATTACCTCGGTGGCCGCCGGCTGGCTGCGCGAGTGCGCGCGGGTGCGAGGATGTGGATGTGTGCGCCTGTGTGTGTGCCCCGCCACCGGGCAGGCGGGGTCCGCCGTGCGCCTCCTTCAGTCTCGGGCCCCACACGCCGCCGCCTGCAGCCGCCAGAGGCTCACAGGTGGCTGCGTGGCCCCGATGCTCATGAAGCCCCCCTCTTCCGATCCATGCGCCCCTCACCCGCCAAGAAAGGCAGGAGCCCACGCCGCAGGCGCCCGCGGGGGTGGGAACCGAGTCTGTGCGCCCTGCGGAGGGCCCAGAGCCAGGAGCCGTACGATGGTGCTGAACGGACAGCTCCGCGCGCTTCAGCCTGGGGCTCAGCCGCCGCCCCAGACTCCGAAAATGTTCTGGGGCGTCATTCTGTTCCCCGGGCGCCCCCCAGCTCTGCACGGAGCTGACACCTTTTCCCCCTCCCTCCGCATCCTCCGGGGACAGCTGTTATTGCCAGCACCCCCAGGGCTCAGGCAGACGGTTGCCTACGATGACTTTCTCCCTCTCTGGGTCTATAAGAGACAGGGTAGGGAATGCGGAATGACTTCGGTGTGTAGGGCAGATAGGATCTATGGGGCTTCCTCTTTTAGAAACCTGAGGAAAACTTTCCCACACCTGGACGTTTCCAGGTTATTGGAAAACAGGAGCTGTCGGAGAAAACATGCTGAGCTGTGGCAGGGATGTGGGTGGAGCAGGGGTTTGGGGAGGTGTGCACAAGTCCTATTGGCTTGGGAAGGAGTCATGGGTGGGTACTGTGTATGTTCGGGCCAGTGTGGTGTGTGGGCTGCAAGGTGGGTGCTAGAAGTTCAGTACAAGTGTGTGGCCTGAGACTTCCCAACGTCTGTGAACAACACTGACAAATAAGGCTTCTGATGGATGGCATGCAGTGTGCTGCCATATGGGGGCGGGGGAATTGGACATGCATCAGTGTAGTATGCGTATATGACGCGGGTCTGTGTTCTATCTAAACAGTGTGACCTCAGCACCGGTGTGCCTATTTGCAAGGCTTCGGGTCCTCCTATTGACCCTTATCCTCTTCCATAGCCCAGGCTGCATTGGAGCCTTTGATTAGCTAGCTTTTCTTGTGAGGGACAAAACCCACACCCACCTTTCCCTGAGTATCAAAGTGAATTTGGAGCCTGCAGGGAGAGGCTGAGATTGGGGCATATCAGCTATTTCTTGGACAGGCCAAGCAGAAACTCCTGGACCTGGTGGATGGATGCCTCTGCAGAGGGTTAAATGTATGTGACAGTCAATGCACTGAAGAGAAATGGAGTCATCTCCCGCTTCTGTAGCGGAGGAACTGGTTTTGTTTATGGTTTATTTAGAGGTCTGAGCCCTGATTTTAAAATATAGCTGCCTGCTTCACTGGTGGAGTATGTCTAGCTTGCCTGGGGGGAGATAGTGAGGGAGTGGAGAAGTGGGAAAGGCATCCTGGGAAGGGGGATGAGGGGATCCTGGGTGGTGACCCAGATCCTTGCACCTGGGTGACTGTCTCTCTGCTTCCCTTGCCAGTGCAGATCTCAGCTGAGCCCACACAGCCCAGACTCAGCTTTCCCCTGACAGGCGAGGGGGATGCTTCAGAGGCCCTGTTGAGTGAGCTGGGCTGCCTGACCTACATTCCCCACTCTGCAGAAGAGCCAGGCCCCACCCTTCCCTTGGGCTCTGACCCTTGACCCTGGCGGAGTGGACTGCTATCACCCACACCTACCCTGCTGCCCACTACCTTGCCTCCCACTGCAGGCCAAGTGTCCCATACAAACACAAGAGGGCCATGCCTTACCCCTAAAACCTTCCAGGGGCTTCATAATACAGGAAACGGAAAGTCACTTGGCTGTCACTGCTCGAAGACTCTCAATGATATATCTCTGGCCACCTCTCAAATTTCATCTCTTTGCTGTCTGTTGTGCCCTGACCATATGTCCCCTTTGCCCCTGTGACCTTTATATCTATTATCATGACAGCATCACACAACAGATTTTTTTTTTCTTGTCATTCAGGACCTGTTTAAATGTCAGCTCCTCCAAGGCATGACCCCCCTCCAAGAGGTTCTTCTGTGTGTACCTTCACCATGCATATACTAAACATCTGTTGAGTAACAATTAAGGGTGAGTGACCAGGGCTCCAGTTGCTAGATGAGATTGTTCCATGACAAAAATCTTCACTTCAACTCCTCTTGAAGGAAAAGGAGAGATGCTGTGACTGAAGATACAACTGATTGGATCTAGCAATTCAGTAGATCCCATAGCTAGTCGACGCTCCCATGATGCCTTGAGCCTTGGACCACACCAATTGACCCAGAATCCCTAGCTTTTTCCAGAAGTCCCCCTTTTGATCCTTAAGTGGAGCAAGATTGCCAGCATTAGTGAAGACATCCACAGAACTGTACCATGAGCCTGCACCCTGAGGCCAGCACCTAGCTGTGCCTGCCTGTGCAGGAAGCCCTATGCCTTTTTTTCTTTTTTTCTGTCTTTGCTGAAGGGCTCCTGCTGATGTAGGAATCCTTTACCTTGGAGAAAATTCATTTGCAATTAGAAGTAATTACACTTTCCTTTTCTCCATAGACAAGGGCCAGCTCCTTAGGCCCTTGTAATGCTAAGAGTGATCAAGAGGACTGAGGAGGTAACTTGGGTAATGTGCTTGCTGGGTAAACATGAAGACCTGCATTCAGTCCCATCCCCAGAACCCATGTGACAATCCAGGCATGGGTGCCCCGAATTATAATCCCATCCCTGGGGAGGTAGAAAGAGAGGGGGTTTCCCGGGCTTGCTGGCCAGCCAGTTTAGGCTAATCAGTGACTTCAAGCCAATAAAAGACCTGGTCTCAAAAACCTGAGGAACAACACCCAAGGCTGACATCTGCTCTTTGCATACATGTGTATGTATGTTCACATGGAGACTCACACGCCTCCCCTTATGAACATGTGTAGACACGTGTGCACATATAAAAATAAAATAAAAAGAAGGACTAGGGGGCTGGAGACATGACTCAGCAGTTAAGAGCACTATTGTTCTTGCAGAGGATCCAGATTCAGTTAGCAAACTCCAGTCCCAGGAGATCTGACCTCTTCTGGCCTCTGCAGGCACCATTCATGTACATGGTACACATACATGCACATGGATAAAACACTCAGGCATATAAAATAAAATTTTTAAAAACTTTCAAAAAAAGGACTAAGGAGAAGGCAGGCAGCCTTTCAGGTGGATTTACCATGGGAGCTCCTGGGCTGGAGGCAGGTCTGGTCTGGGAGAGATGGAGGGAACAGGCAGTAGAGACCACAGAGCTGGAAAACTCCCTGGCCTCAGGCCTTAAGAAGGCCAATGCTAGGGAGGGAAGGAACACAAGCAAGTGTGTAGGAGATGGGTGTGATGAGGAGAAAAGTTGGGGGAAATGGATTCTGTGAAATTTTGCTGCATGTTATGAATGCAATTGCTCATTAAGTGTTTTCTCAGGAGATAGCAGCAAATACTTCTGTGGCTTTTGGGTTGCTTCTCCAGAAGCACAAAACTTTCTTATGAGAGTCCTTGCCTAGCCATTTGAAATTATCCCCCAAGGGAACCCCCTCTCCCAACAGCCCCTGCAGTCTGCCTTCTCCCCAGCGGCATTCCCTCCAGGCTGATAGGCAGAGGCTGTCATCAAAGAGCTCTTAACAAAAAGGGGAGGCCCCTCCACACTGAACCTTGAGGGCCAGGGTCTTGTCTTTTGCCTCCTATTCCAAGCCCCTTCTTCCTGGAGCTCTCTCTATCAGCCCCCATTGCTTGGCTTCCTTGTGCACTTCAATGAATTTTCCAGAACACCCTTGGGATAGAATAATTAAGTGGAGCTTGAGTTAAGCTCAGACTTAAGGTTACCACAAGGACAAATTAACATGAGAATAATATGGCTGCTGGCCTTGCCCTCCCTTACCTCTCTCTTCTTTCCTGGTCCTCCTCAGAGGCCACAATAGACACTCAGTATGGTTCCTCTCTGTCTGCTTCCCTCTTTTCCCTCTGTTCTCCCACAGGTAATTAACAAATAACTGAAGCCTCTATTGGCCCCACTCTCTCAGCCAGCCGAGAGAAGCCTAGATCAGGACAACCTACCATTAGGCTCTCTTGTAAATGCAAACACAGGTGGCAGGTCCATACAATCTCCTGTGGTGGGTAACTGGTGAAGAATAAGAGAGTGGAGATGAGCTAGCTGTACATGGTGTTAGTGGTGATGGTAATCATGGTGGTCATGATGGTCATGGTGATCATGGTGGTCAAGCTGGTCAT